CACAGGATTCCCCGTCTGTGTCAGTGAGGTGAGGGGGGAGTGGGCAGTGGCTTTGTCCTTCCTACACTGGCCCCTCCCTCTTGTGTCCAGAGGCAGAGCAGCCACAGGGCCGGTAGGCATTGTGCCAGTCCAGCCCAGAGCCGTCCAGGGGTGGGCGGGCATGCGGAGCCGAGCACCTGGGTGACATAGTGACTCTTGAAGGGAAGCAAAGGACAACATGGCAGAGGCTGGGGGGACATGCTGAGAGCTCAGGAGGCAGCGGCCTCAGGTTCCAGCAGATGCTCAGGCCCCTCCCGCCGAGGCTGGCTCTGCTGCAGCAGTTTCCGGGGTGACCTGAGGCAGGACCTGGTTGCACTCGGGGGAATGTTTTAACCACGGCCTGTGCCCGTTCCCAAGGAAACGTGGTCCCACTTGAGTTCCTTTGCTGCGTGTGGAAAGCAGTGCTGTCCCGACCAGCGCCCGGACAGAGGTACCCAGAGGAGGTGCAGGCAGACATGTCCCCCTGTAGCCCCTGGGTCTCCTGCCTGGGAAGTCCCACGCCTGCTGTAGGAGGAAGGGACCTTGTGCCTACAGACTCTGCTCAGATGCCAAGGGCAGGGCTCCTTGGTGGCACAGGTGGCCCCGCCCAGACCCCTCCTGGTCGGAGAGGAAGGAATAGCTCCCAGAGGGACCCTTGCTCTCCACACAGGCCCCTCCCTGGGCAGCCAGGCCTCCCAGCACATTGCATCATCTGGGAATCTTTATAAAAACCTGGTTTCTGGGCCTCATCCTCTGGAAATTCCGTTTCTTTTTTACTAATGATGAGGCCCAGAAATCAGGATTTTAAAAAGATTCCCAGGTGATTCTAATGTGCAGCCAAGGTTGAGAACCACTGAATTAGCAGGTGCTTCTCATTAATTTGTGAAAGACCACAGTAAAGAAAAAGACCTTTTTCTTTTCCTTACAAATACCTCCACCACATTTAGATCCTGAGGCTTTATTGGCCTGAACATTAACTACGTCTATGAGTCCAAATAAAGGGACACCAGCAATATGGGGGCATTCTGTTAAGGAGGATGTGAACAATGGGTCCACCAGGAAATAAAGCACTCATTGAATTTTCTCCTCAACGGACAAGTTCATTTTTAATTTTATTTTTTACTTTATTGATTTCTTACAGAGAGGAAGGGAGAGGGATAGAGTTAGAAACATCAATCAGCTGCTCTTGCACACCCCCTACTGGAGCTACACCCACAACCAAGGTACATGCCCTTGACCGGAATTGAACCTGGGACCCTACAGTCCACAGGCCACTGCTCTATCCACTAAGCCAAACTGGTTAGGACTAAACTAACAAGTTCTGACTCCCCAGTTTGGACAAAAATGATGGCACATACTAAACCTAGTAAGCTCAGGGATCCTGGCATGCCATGGCCAATCTTAGGAACTCAGAGGCCAAAAGTAACCATATAAGATGGTTTGAAGTTAAACCTTTCTAAGCAAAAGTAAGCCACAGGGGTAGTTATGTCCTAGCCTTGTTTTTTGTTTTATTTTGTTTTGTTTTGCAGAGGTCTATTTGTACCTTATAAAGCCTGGCTATTGTGTTTTTGCATCTGGGATAACATACCTTTGGATTTTCAGGGAAATTTCCGTTTTACAGAATCTTAAGGGCACAATCTCCCAACACAGCAGACCACAGAGTGCCAATTATTATTGTTATTGTATTACATATGAAGTGTTAACTATTCTATAACATGTAAAAAGAAGTTTGTGTCTATTGTTTTTTACTTTTTATCCAATCCCAGAGATTTCCCTCCTTAACTGTCTCCCCTATATTATCACCAGTGAATTTCATATAACCCCCTTATGTCTTCTCCTTAGAGTCTAATGTATAAAGAAGGTGCAAAACTGCCATTCTCCCACCTCAATGTGTTTTTCTTGTTTCCCGGCAGTTGTCGCAGGCTTGGGGCAAATAAACTGAGAGAAATTCTCCACAGGTTTGGACATTTCTTACAACAACACCAAAAGCAATCTACTCATGTGAAGGATGAGAAGGTTACTGTTATGCCCAGAGTTCGGGGTCCCCAATAACCCACCACCAGGGAGCCTTTTCTGATGCAAAAGCAAAGGGTCTTTTATTCAAGCCCGGGACTTGGTCCCCCTCCTGCCTCCATTACTGGATGCAAGAGAGAGCCCCGAGTTCCAAGAGAACAAAGAATTTATAGGGCTTGGGGTTGGGGGGTGGCGGCACACTCTGTCCACTGATTTGGTCGATTCCGGTTGGTTGAGTGAGGGCCGGGGGCTAGTTACGCAAGGGCAGGGTGCAGCTAGGGTCTGGTTACACAAAGACAGGGGGGTGGCTAGCATACTCTTGGCCTTGGGCTAGTTTTCCCCACTTTCCCATTGGCCGAGATAAGGGCAGGCTAAGTAACTGATACATTCTGCGGCTTTTTCTTGGAAGAGGTGTTAAGGACTCAGCTATCAGTCCTGTTCTGTCCTTTCAGTTACATGGAGGGGTATCAGCATTTCCAGGGACAAAACTGACAGAAGACAGGTTTATAAACACAAATTTAGAGCAGATCGAGAAACCAGCAAGCTAGAGCTTTCCCATTGCTTTCAGGGAACAGCAGAAAATGCTCAAGTCTCAGGTGACTTGTTTTTATTGTTTGCTTGTGTGTGTGTGTGTGTGTGTGTGTGTGTGTACTCCACAGGGAAGGATGTTTTTCCTTTTTACCCTCCCCGCCTTCCCTTCTAAGATTCCGCATTCTGAATTCCACACTCTGAATTTACTCCATTCAACAGGGGTTTTTGGTTAATTAAATTACATATATGAGTGAGATAAGATGATAGTTCTTTTGACTTACTTCACTTAGCAGGATGCTCTCCAGGTCCCTCCATGCTGTGTGAAAGGGGAAGAGAGTCTTCATTTTTACTGCTGCATAGTATTCCATGGTTTAAATGTACCACACTATTTAATCCAATCAATCATCTTCTGATGGGTACTTGACCAGTTTCCAGAGCTTAGCTATTGTAAATTGTGCTGCTATGAACATAGGGGTACATATATCTATGTGATTGTTTCAGGTTTCTTAGGATATATTCCTAGGAGTAGAATCACTGAATTAAATGACAGTTCCATATTAAATATTTTACAAAAACTTCAAACTGAATCCATTATGGCTGTACCAATTAGCATTGCCATCTGGGGTGTACTAGGGTTCCCATTTTTCCACATCCTCCCCAGCACTTGTCATTTGTTGATTTGATGATGGCAGCCATTATGAAAGTGGTGCGGTGATACCTAATTGTTGCTTAAATTTGCATCTCTCTGGTGATCAGTCACTTTGAGCATTTTTTCACAGGTTTCTTGGCCATCTTATCCTCACTGCAGTCCAGGCAGAGCTGACATTTTGGATGCTCTTAAGTATGAGTGTCTTTTTCCTGACAATAACTTTGTATAATGGATTCAATGGAGGCAGGTTAAGGCAGTTAGAGACTTGAACAGCCTCCTCCAGATACATATGGCCTGAGGGAAACACATGCCAAATGTCTTGAATGAAGAAACAATGTCTGCCCTTCTGAAATAGCAAGTCCTGAACAAATATATTCAAAACCTGCTGCTAAAGGAAGCTGTGCAGGTGCAGGGAAAACAAACTTGCCCCGGAAATCACCTCCCTGAAGGCGCTAGAGGACCCTTAGTGTACTTGGTGTGTTCTTGGGCTATTTGCCACTAAATCCAGGCCTAGAATCAAGTGAGAAATACTGGATCCCGGCCTTGGAGCGGAGAAACTACATTACCCAGAAGGCAACGCATGGAATGGCATCAGGCTGCGCCAATGGAGGCTCAGAGGAGGCATTTCCGTTTGGCCGCTTCGGGAGGGCGGGACCGATAATCCTTGTGGCAGGACTTCATCCTCTCAGATTTTTGTCTCGGGGGATGAGGTTTTCCGTGTCCGCAGTCCCTTGGAGAAGGCCGGAGAGTGGTGCTCACAGCTCCCACGTGGGATTGAAGCTCGGAGTCACCACCCGGACCCACGCCAGGGCCGGGACAGGGACCGCCATTCCTGCAGCGGCTTCTGCTCCCGCCCTCTTAGCCCACAGAGCGCAATGGCGGCGCCCCCGCCGAGGAGACGGGCTGAGGTGAGTCGAGTCCCCCAGGCCCTCACCGCCTCCTCACACAGACACCACAGCCTGGGGAGGGCGCCAGTCCCGTCCTGCGGCTCAGTCCCGCGTGGAGGACCGTGAGGAAGGTGGAGGGGAGAGAGGAGTGTTGTGGCTTCTGAGGACACAGCAAGTGCGGGGCAGGGAGGACGGGGGTGACTTGCATCTGAAGGTCCCTGAGGATGTGGCTGTGAGTATTGACGGAAAGATCAGAGGCTGCAGGGAGGACGGCACAGACTCATTCGGGGCTTTCACGGCTGTGGGTCCGTCAGGGGCCTGGGGTGGTCCTGGATCCCGCTGGACTACAAGCTCTCTACACGCCATATGCCAAGTCATGGGTGAGTCTAGCGAGATCCAGTGGCATTGGAGCAGGAAGGGGGCAGAGCTGAGGGAGTGAACCTGGGATCTGAGATGGGAAGGGGATGAACATTACCCAGTGGTGTGCACATCTGGGGTAAGTGTGAGCTGATGGTCCCGGCGACCTGGTGTGGGGACTTAAAGGCAAAGCATAAACCCACGCATCGCCCAGACCTTAAATGGCATTGCCCTCTACCCTCCCCTACCCCAATCCTTCCCTCCCAACCCAGCTGCTCTGCTGAGGGCCATCACAGTGAGTAATGGGACTGTGATGAGAGAGCAGCCTGCACTGGCATTAGGGCCTGGTGTCCACAGTAACCAGGGGCACTGGAGGAGGTTGAGGGGGGGAAGATGTGTAAGGAGTAGGATTACTGGTTCTCAGAAAGGCAGGTCTGCTTAAAATTGTCTCCATTCTGACAGGTTGGTGTGACCTTTGAGGACATTGCCCTGTACTTCTCCAGGGAGGAATGGAGCCTCCTTGATGAGGGTCAGAGACAGCTGTACCTGAATGTGATGCTGGAGAACTTTGAACTTATATCCTCGCTGGGTAAGACCCTCACTCTCACCAGTGAACTGCACTTGGCTTAGAGGTTTTCCAGACCCCATTCCCCAGGGTGTGTTTGTCCTCCCAGGTAGACTGTGGTACTGCTTGTTTTTCCAGTTTCCTGGGTAGTTGCTGTCCTGGGGAGGGTTGGTCTGTTTCCACTGCTCCCTTCTATTCCTGAAGTACCAATAGTCCCTGCTGTACTAAATTCACAGGGAAGGATTTGTGCTTGGTAGTGTGTTTGGAAGACTGAGTGATTCCACCTTGATCATTGAGGAAAGCATTTTCTATATTCTTGTTGGTCATTTGTACATACTTTTAGAGGAATTGTTTCTATATCCTTTTCCTGCTTAATAACGCTATTTTTTGGTTAAACATTCTCGTGACTACCTTGTATATATTATATATTAATTGCTTATCACATCCAGGAACATATTTTTGCATGTACTTAATTGTGCTTTTCAGATGCAGATATTGCTGCCCCACACCCACTTTTCTACAAAGTCCACATCTTTAGCAACCCTGCATTCAGCAGGTCTAGTGCCACCATGTTTCTAGCAAGCTCAGATGCTTGTTACTAGTGCTTAGCAATATAGTATTTTTTTTAAGTTTTATTTTATTTATTTTTTTTACAGAGAGGAGGGGCGAGGGATAGACGGTTAGAAACATTGATCAGCTGCCTCCTGCACACTCCCTACTGGGTTGTGCCCGCCACCAAGGTACATGCCCTTGACCAGAATCGAACCTGGGACCCTTGAGTCCATAGGCTGACGCTCTATTCACTGAGCCAAAACGGTTAGGGCACAATAAAGTATTTTTAATGAAGCTATATCGAGTTTGGTTTTCAGACAAGTCATTGCATTGTTATTAGCCGACAGTGTAGTTATAGTATAACATAACTTTATTATTCCCTGAGAATTCCAACTTTTTGTGTGAATTTCTGTCTATATCTCAATATTTGCTTAATTGTGCTCATCAGAACTGCATCCACTATCTCTCCAAGCTATTCCTTCATAGGATTTGCAACTATGTTCTTCTGTTCTCTAGATTTCCTTTCATTTCATTTTGTTTATTGCTTTTGTGCTGTGAAGAAGCTTTTTCTTTATTTGTTGTTATCTGGACTGTTTATTTTTTCTTTTTTGTCTGGTGGTTGGTGTCATATTCAGGGTTCCATTTAATCTATAGATTGCATTGTGTACTATGGATATTTTCACAATTTTTTTAAAAAAAATTATTGTTTAAAGTAATATATATTGCATTACATATGTCTCCATTTTCCCTCATTGACCACAAATGAGTGATCTTGTGATATTCATCTTTCTCCACCTGGTTGATTTTGCTTAGCATGATGCTCTCCAGTTCCATCTATGCTGTTGCAAATGGCAAGAGTTCCTCCTTTTTAACAGCAGCATAGAATTCCATTGTGTAGATGTACCACAGTTTGTTGTGTGTGTTTTTTTCGAATTTTTGTGAATTTATTTGAGCCAAAGATGTACCACAGATTTTAATCCACTCATCTACTGATTGGCACTTAGGCTATTTCCAAATCTTAGCTCTTTTAAATTGTGCTGCTATGAACATAAGAGTGAACATATCCTTTCTGATTGGTGTTTATGATTTCTTTTTTTCTTTTTTTAATATTTCATTATTGATTTCAGAGAGAGGAGAGGAGAGGGAGAGAGTGATAGTAACATCAATGATAAGAGAGAATCATTGATCTCTGCATTCTGCACGCACCCTACTGGGATTCGAGCCCACAGCGCTGCATGTTGCCTTGGGCGGCATCAAACCTGGGACCCTTCAACCTGCAGGCTCTATCCACTGAGCAAAACTGGCTAGGGCTGTGTCCGATTTCTTGGGATATTTTCCTAGATGGGTCAATTGGGAGTTCCATTTTTAGTTTTTTGTAAACTCTACACTATATTCCACAGTGTCTGTACCAATATGCATTCCCACCAGCTGTGCACAAGGGTTCCTTTTTCTCTGAATCCTTGTCAGCATCTTGTCGTTTATCGATTAGTTGATGATAGCCATCCTGACAGGTGTGAGATGATGTCTCATTGTCGTTTTGATTTGCGTCTCTCAGATAAGTGGCTTTGAGGATGTTTTTATATGTCTTGGCTTTCTGTATATCCAATTTCAAAAAGTGTGTATTTAGGTCCTTTGCCAATTTTTAGGTTGGATTGTTTACCTTTTTCTTATGATGTATGAGTTTCTGTAAATTTTGGAGAGTAAACCCTTATCAGATATAACATTGGCAAATATGTTCTCCCATGCAGTGGGCTTTCTTGTTGTTTTGTTGATAGTTTCTTTGGCTGTGCAGAAGCTTTTTATCTTGACGTAGTTCTATTTGTTTATTTTTTTTTTAGTTTCCATTACTCTAGGAGCTGTATCCATAAAGACATTGCTAGGATATATCTCTGATATTTTGTTGCCTTTGGATTCTTCTAAGATTTTTATTGTTTCCCATCTTTCGTTTATGGACTTGATTTATATTTAGTTTATTTTGTGTATGATATAAGTTGGTGGTCGAGTTTCATTTTTTTTTGCATGTATCTGTCCAATTTTCCCAAAATCATTTAATGAAGAAGAGACTGTCTTGATTTCATTGTATACTGTTGCCTCCTTTGACAAATATTGAGCATAAAGGCTTGGTTTGATTTTGGTATTCTCTGTTCTCTTGCATTGTTCTATATGTCTGTTGTTGTTCCAGTACTAGGCATTTTTGCAATATACCTTGGTATCTGGTATTGTCATCCCTCCAACTTGGTTCTTTCTCAAGATTGCTGCGGCTATTTATTATTATTCTATATTTATTTTTGGAGAGCTTATTATAGGTCTGTGAAATATGCATTTGGTATCTTAATGGGGATTACATTGAATCTGCAGATTGCTTTGGGTAGTATGGACATTTTAATGATGTTGATTCTACCAATCCATGAACACGGTATATGTTTCCATTTGTTTATATCTCCTTCTATCTCTTTTTTTCAACTTCCTGTAGTTTTCGGAGTGCAGGTCTTTTACGTCGTTAGTTAAGTTTATTCCTACATATCCGAATTTTTTTGTTGCAATGGTAGATAGGATTGTTTATTTGCTTGTTTGTTTGTTTCTTTTTCTCTGAGTTCATCATTGGTGTATAAAAAAGTCATAGATTTCTGGTTGTTAATTTTCTATCCTGCCACATTTCTGAATGCATTTATTAAATTTAGTAGTTTTTTGATGGTATCTTTAGGGTTTTCTATGTACAATACCATCTCATCTTTGAATAATGACGGTTTTCTTCTTTTCCAATTATGGTGCTTTTAATTTCTGCTTCTTGTCTGATTGTTATGGCTAGCACTTCCAGTTTTATATCAAACAGGAGTGGTGAAAATGGCATCCCTGTCTTGTTCCTGTTCTTAGGGAAAATGGTTACAGTTTTTGCTGAATGAGTATGATGTTGGCTGTGGGTTTGTCATAAGGCTCTTATTATGTCGAGGTGTGATCCTTGGGCTCCCACTCTGCTGAGAGTTTTATGAAGAAAGGGTGTCAGATTATGTCAAATGCTTTTTCTGCATCAATCAATATTATTATATAGTTTTTGACTTTCATTTTGTTTATATGTGGTATCATATTTATTGATTTGCAGATATTGTACCAATCTTTCATCCCTGGAAAAAATCCCACTTGGTCATGGTGTATGATCTTTCTAATGTATTGCTGTATCCGATTTGCTAGAATTTTCTTGAGGATTTTAGCATTGATGGGTGTCACTACGATTACAGTGGGAGAGCTCCTGTGCAGGAGACACCCCTATGGAGCATGACCTGCATCAGTGGGACTTTGGTGGTCAGTGAGTCTATCGTTTCTGGATGTAAAGAGTAAGCTCATATGGTATGACACTGACCACTGGGTACACTGGCTCTTGGGTCTCCAGAGAGGTGTAACGTCAGCCTGTGCTGGAGCCACCCAGCAGCATCTACAGAGAGATCTGCAGAATCTTCTCTTTGTTGTGAGTTTGGAAGTGCCTTGATGAGGCCCAGCTGTGAAGCAAGGAAGGCTAGTGCTTGTGCCAGGTACAGGCCTTTTATTGATAGGTTTGGGGCTCCCTGACCGATCCCCAACTTGTTTGACAGGTTTTAGCCTGAGCAAGGACAGACAATTCATATACAAACACTGCTGCACACAGCTTGGTTGGAGTTGTAAATTGGATGGGGTGAGGTCTCAGGGAATCACCAGGTGGGAGCACACAGAAATGGTTGTCAGTAAGACCTGCCACCTCGGATGTAGCAGCATAGGTATAATGTCTACAGCAAGCACCTCTGCCTGGAGAAAGCTTCCCCCAAATTCCTGCGCCGATTCCAGTTAGTCCAGTTTTCTCTCATATGTGTCTTGATCCACCCCTCCAACACCAGGCTCGCCAGGCCCTGGAGGTCAGAAGAATCGTGAGGTTGTAAGTTCAGTTCGTGGTACTGGCATTGTAAGAGGAGCAGCTGGGTCTCCTGCTGCCTCTGTGTCACTGAGCCCCAGTCCGCACTGGTTTTTACAGCCCGTAGTTCTTACTGCCAGTGGGGACTTTTTTCCCCAGTCTGGGACGCTGTGCTGGGCGTCTGGTGTGACACTGGGACCCCTTTTTCTTCCAGGTGACCTCTGCAGAGACGATCTCTCTCCCAATTAAAAAAAGTGTCCCACATGGGTACACGACCAACACCTTCCATTCCTCTCTACCTCCTACCAGTATCACTGTGCTTTCCACTTTACCTGTCCAGTGCTAAGACAATGGTTCTCAACCTTGGCTGTACATTAGAATCACCTGGGAATCTTTTTAAAATCCTGATATCTGGCCCTCATCCTTTGGAAATTCTGTTTCGTTGTTACTAATGATGAGGCCCAGAAATCAGGTTATTGAAAACATTCCCAGGTGATTCTAATGTGCAGGCCAGGTTGAGAACCACTGTCCTAAGGCATCAATTCAGCCAGCTTTCCAGGAGTTCTGGCTGATTGTTGTTCTGCATTTTACT